CTGTGAGACCACATATATAGAAACATTTTTTCTAAATTAGAAGAAGCCAGTATGAAACTGGTTCTGCTGTTTCTCTACATCTGTTTTTTAAAAATAATTTCACTTTTTTCCATGTTTCGACAAAAGCTCTACATGCTGGTGATGTGTCTTCTTTACTATGGAGAAGGAAAAAGAAAATCCCTAAATCCAGTCTTTGAACTGAAGTGATAGTCTGTAATGCAAGAGCAACAAGCCAGTCCGCAAAACCCCTCCCAGCGGTTAGTCAAGAGTTTGGGGGCCACATCTCCTCATCCACTCTCTGCTCCGTTTTCTCATGAGCCAAGTACCCACTCCCCGCATACTGTTTAAATCTACTTTTAAAAAGTGGGGAGGGGGGGGAGCGCCCGAGTGCCTCAGTAGGTTAAAGCCTCTGCCTTCGGCTCAGGTCATGATCCCAGGGTCCTGGAATCGAGCCCCGAATCGGGCTCTCTGCTCAGCAGGGAGCCTGCTTCCTCCTCTCTCTCTGCCTACTTGTGAGCTCCATCTGTCAAAGAAATAAATAAAATCTTAAAAAAAAAAAAAAAAGGAAAGGCTATTTTTACAAATTATGCCAATTCTCACAGATCCTTAAATTAGGAAAAGATGAGAACCCTCTAAATTTCCTTTGAAAACAACTGCAAAACTTTTGAGAATCAAAATACTTTCACTTTAACACAACCTTAGCAAATTTGCTGAGCAAGAGACAACGTAGTTCACAGGGAGGCAGGTCCCATCCTGCACACTGACAGGTCAGCACCCCTGCATATGTGGGAAGCAGCTACCACGCCCATGGAGGCACCTTGGGGCTGGGGCACTTCTCAACCATGTAACCTGTACTGGGGAATAATCCAAAAGTTCTAATGTCTATCTATAGCAACTACATTTCATAACAGCATGGCTCAGTCCAATATACACACTTTATTTTAAATTATGCCACTAGTACTTGGGAAAAAAAGTCATTTATTTGCACTGCTTCCATTTTTCTACTGTAGTGTTAGGAATTGACATAAGCATCGCTCTTCTACTTCCTATTTACAACTCATTCAGAATATTACTACAAATACAATATACAACTTTAAAAACTTCTGGGGAACTGCAGTTTTTGTTTTTCTTTCCTCTTTACAGGTTTCTCAAAATCATTCAATTTAAATGAAAATTTATATGGATATTTTCTGTACACATCTGAAAGGGCAGAAATCCCACTGATAAAGCCAAAAGAATTTTGCACAAATACAATAAAATACAGAGAACAAAACCTATAGAAGATGTTATTTGGGGTACAAATATAAACAATACAGTACCATTTGAGTAATTTAGCAACATAACACTCATACTTTATAGAAATAAAACTGCAAACCTGGAGAATGCTCTGACAAATATTAAACATTATATATACAATGAGGTAAATGTACCTTGGTCTCTTGAGAGGTAATTTAAGTTTAAAGCAATTGACACTTTGAAGCATCTCCTTGACACATAAAGAAATACCGAACACCCCATTCCATTGGCACAATGTGAAAAAGGGATATCAAAACACGGTTCATGATATTCAATTCACAAATCTTGTCAAAATATAAAAACAAATTCAATTAAGTTCTTTTCTTTGAGCTTTAAGAAACAGGCTGAATGTTATTAAACACATTCTTGAAAGTCTACAGTTACAAATAAGATTGCATAATGGTGCCGACAAGTTTAAGAGTATGGACAATCCTCAGAAGGTCTTAGAATTTCAGCACTCCTAGAGAGAGGGCCTGTGGGTAGTCCAGCATTCCAAAGCAGACACAAGGAGCTACAGATGACACGTCCAGACCCATTCTTTAGGATCTCAAAAATATCTGAACTGCCATTTCCTGCCATGCTGTAACAGAACCATTATTTGGAATCTCCATCATTTGGAGCCAGAACACTGCCACAGTCAAGAAACAAAAAGAAACAGCTGACTTACAATCACTCTTTCAGTGCAAGGATAAAAATAAATGTTGACAGGACATGTCCAACAGGATACTGATTTTGTTCTGCATTTTAGTTGGCACTATGCCATCTTGTTTTAGAAAATATTCTATACGGGACAGCTCTCAGATGTAGAGGGGGAACTGAAGGGAGCTCACGTGTGAGCTGCAGAATGGCCAAGTGGCCACTTTGTAATAAGAACTGCAGTGTGCAATTGCTGACGTCACTAACCATGTCACTGTGCGCGGACTCGAGGCCCTTCTTGAGCTCTCTCACTACAGCAGAACTACAGGCTCCTCTCTTCTGACGGCGCCCTGTGCCCCTGCTTCGGGCACAATGAACTCCTGCCGCCGTAACTGCTACCTTGCTGCCTTCCACTGCTCGGCCATAGCCGAAGTCACAAAGCAGCCAGCAGGGCTATCATCCGCCCCATCTCCAAACTTAGAGAACCCTCCCAGCAACATCCAGTGACTCAAGGAAATGGAAGCATGTCCCACAGCTATTCAAAAGGCTGCTGAGGGGAGATGGCTGGGGTGGTGGCAAGGCAATCTGTCTCTGAGTCAGGGGCCAGCAGGAAGGCAGGTTGAGAGAAATGTAAGCTGAAGTTAGGAAGGAAGGACCAGGGATACCCGTGCCCCATGGGGTCTTACCTCCCTCATCCCCATTCCTCAGTGGCACTGACGAAATGGATGTGGACAGGTAATTGGTCTTAAGGTATATTTTAAACCAAGTTTAATTTTGAAAGGTGAGCATGTGAAGATGGGCAGTATAAACAAAGGCTTGTGTATCTAAATGACAAAATTAATACTCTAGTCAAACGTATCTGCAGTTACAGCCATAGTAATCATGATCTATTTCATTTTTAAGTGACTTTCATTTTCAATAATAATTAATCAGGGTTTATCAAACTGTCATTAACCCATAAAAGGAATTTGCTGCAGTAATTTGTAAACTGAATTTAGAACTAAACTCCAACTTTTAAAAAAATTCCCTGACTCACCAAAAGTACATTTTATCCACGTAGGCAAGAAGAGTATAATTACAACTGAATCTTTGATTTAATAAAGAATATCTTCAGTAAAAGTTGATTACCTTATATGAGAGTGAGAAATCATGTATCTCAATTTTAGATCAGACAAGGACTTTTGGTATGTTCTCAAAATTATATAAAAATAGTTTTAGCATTGGTCCCCTGGATTTCATAAAGCAGATCTGGCTTAGAAATGGGGAAAGAAAAAAAAAAAGTACCTAATCACAGAGCTAGAGATTAAATAGGAAATAAAACATAATTATAAAACAAACCCCTCAAACTCATTCATTTGCTTTGACAAAATCATGGTAATTACAGAAAAAAACTCAAATTTGGAGTCAAAATATTAACCTCTAAGCACATTTTCCCCATGATGTTTTTAAACACATGAAACTGACACTAAATTCCTATGCATATGTCATTCATTCTAAAATTACTTTGGCTTTAAGACCAAATAGTCTTTCAAATTTATTCTATGTTTAAGAGATAAGACATAATCAGAATGCAGCTCAGTCAGTGTAAATGGCCACTATCTCTTATTGACCAAATACTATAAAGGTAATTCTGACCCTTTCATTTGGAAATTGATAGCACTATGAATGTCTTGCCTCATTGCTATGATAGTTTTCTCCCATCAGAATAAGATCACAGTGATAAAGAGAACTCTGAAAACTGTAAAAGCCCTAAGACTTTAAGCACTGGAAGTAAAAACCAGTTATTATAAGCTAGTTTCAACTTACTGTGAAGACCGTGACGAGTTGGCTTTAAACACTGAATTTGACTGAAAACATCTGTTAAATGGAGAACCTATACCCAGAACGTTCTTTAGCTACCACTCTCCCAAATGTTAAGGGTGCACTAAACTTATTACCTAACCATGTAAAAAAGCAGTTGCAGTATCTGCACACAGAAGGAAAGACTGAATTAGAAGCTGCCTTCCTCAAAGTGTAGTGAGACCTCAGAACCACGCTAACTCTAACCTTAGTTACAAAGACAGAAAGTCCACTGAACACTGACTCCTACATAACAAATGTGACTCTCTTGCACACCTGTTATCTACTCAAATGATTAACTACCTTTACCTTCCTAGAAAAAAGGCCTGTTATTTAACATTAACCATACCCTAATTTTAAATGTAACTCATTTCTTAAAAAAATAACACTGTCTTTGATCAGATAAAGGAAAAAATGGCTTACAGAATGCCACACAACTTTTCACAAGCAGCTAGACAAATTTTCCCTGTTAGAAAAATCAGTCTGTATGCTACAAGTTTTAAATTATTAGAGTACTATAAGCATCTACAGTGCCACTTGGTTTTTTTAAGGTATACTTATAGACAACGCAATTTAGATGCAAAAACTTGATGTGAGAATATTCAAAAATGACCATGATAACATTTACCAATTAATGCCACTTCATTTCTTTAGTGGTTTAAGCACATTTTGGTAGGAGAAAGGCATTTTCAAAATGGAATACCAAATGACAAAACAGAAAATGTCTGGGTTACCCAGATAAATAAACTTTTTGAATTAAAATACTACAGCTTTTAAGACACACAGACTGTAAGCAATTCTACTCATTTCCATTAGAAAGACACAGAAGCGGCACTTACTGGTATAGTACAATCCCATTTTGAAGGCATGTAATGTTCTGAATATGTGAAAGAACAGTAATAGTATACAAAATACAATTGCATAAATTATGTTCCTCACTACTATATGAGGTCATTTTTAGACTCAAGATAAGAGTTTTATAAGTGTTAGTTTTAAGATCCTGAAAATTATAGAACAGTACATTCAAAGTCTGAATCAAGGAAACTCTTTAGTGGTTCAGAATCCTCTGAGAATGTACTAACCAGGAATAAATCACTTTCTTTAAAAATAAGAAATGTTTCGTATAACTCAACAATCCACCTCCTTTACCCTTAAAGATGATCTTCAGCACAGCAGAGTTAACCTCAAGTTAAGACCAGCAATCATCTTTAAAAAAAAAAAAAAACAATAAACAAAAAACAAAAACCCAAGTTTTGTGTTAATAAAAAATAAAGGTAGACTACACAACATTTTGTAACTGTCCTGGGAAAGAAGTGTTCATAGTGCACAGAAAGGACCCTGGGTCCAAAGAAATCCTGGGGAGTTTCCGTTGACCTTATTACACTGTTGCAAAAGGAAGCAATATCCTTCTATTCCCTCTCAGTGAGGTAGAACAATTGACCTCCCAAATTAAAACCCAGGAGCAGATCCGAAGGAAAAGTAGAGTTCAGGCAAAGCTGCAGAACTACATTTTGATGCCTTCCTGTTGACTGAGTTGTGACAGTGTTTTCTTAATACGCAAAGCCGTAAGCCTTGCTGCTCCATTGGCATACCAACATTCTCTCATAATTTTAGCCATTACTCTCAAGGCCTGCAAAAAAATAGAAGAAAAATAATTAATGAGTGCCAACGAGTGCTTTCCATTCATCTGAATAAGATCCTTACTCTGTACATCTTATTTCCAAGTATTATATGTTCAATTTTTTTGTTTTGTTATATTTCCGCATTATTTGTAATAGCAAATGAATAGAAATGACTTCCAATTTCCATCAGAGGGGTACTGGTGTCAGTAGCTGGAAAGCAGATGAATGAGGGCCAACCCACTTAGCAGACCTGAAAAAGCTGAATCCTAACCCAGAACTGTCAAGGCAAAAAAGGAACCTGACTCACAGAAACTTCCCTAGAATCAAGGAATTAACTGCATTGAGTTCCTCTGATGTGAAATTCAAGCTAAAAACAGGAGGATCAATCAGCTAAAAGAGCTGGAACCCCAGGTACTTGCCCCTCCCCAAGCTTCACACAGTTGGATGACTGCCCCACTCTGACCCCAGCAAAAGATCAGAGGTTGTATCGGAGAGGTAAAACAGATTTCTGACTTGGGGAACATGGGGGCAAAGTTCCATACTGACAGCTCGCTAAATGACAAGACCATAGGTTCTCTCCCCAAAACACGGGCAGCAACTTGTAGATACTTCTCCAGGCAAGAGACTGAAAGTGTCTTATTTGGGAAATGTGAGCCCAAGAGGAAAGACCTGAAGAAACCAACACATCAGTGACTCCCAATCACTGACAGAAGTAACCCAGTTAGGTCACCCTAAAGGTCACAGTGCATAAGGTCCATTCCCATGCACAAAGTTTCCATCAGCTTCCAGCGTCTTGTCCTTACACATGAGGAGAACAGGAGTTTGATCGGACATTGGAGAAAGCAGTATGAATACAGAAGCTGATACAAAGAGACCAAAGTAACTTGGACAAAACAGTTGTACAGAGAAGAAAATATCAACAAATTATTATTAATATCCTCAAAGAGATAAAGAAAATAGAGTCATCACTGACAGTTTTTTGCTTCTTGTTTGACTTTGGACAAATGTGACAGAAGAATTGGAAAATAAACCTGATTAAAAAAAAAAAGATAAAAGTTGATAAACCTCTCAGAAATTTTAGGAAAAAACCTGATGGATAAGAGGGAAAAGATAAGAAAATTAGAAGGCCTCTTCAAGGGGCTAACATTCAAAACTAGAGTGCAAGAAAGAGAATGGAGGAAAACAAAGGAACAAATCAAAGAAATACTTCTTTGTACTTCTAGGGACACTTCCTATTGGTTTCCATATAAAAACAACAAAAAGCCCATCACATACATATACTTATTCCACATAATTATACATTTATGGGGAGCCTACCATTTATCAGATACCATCTTGGGTACTGTGGATACAAAAAAGAACAGACAAAATATCCCTACCCTCGTAAAGCTCACGTTCTAGGGAGCCAAAGCATCTCATTAATAAGTGAGATACACGGACAGTCAGTGGTAAGTGTTAAGGAGAAATATCATTTAGGGAAGGAGATAAAATATGCCAGGGAAAGAAGGTGATATTTTAAATGGGTATAATGTCTACTAACAAGGTAACATCTGAGCAGGGACTTAAAAGATGGGGGAAGTTGAATACACCAAGAGACAGGAAGTCACTGGGGTCCAGGAAGGAAGATTCACTGTAACAGAAACAAAGGGAATCCCAGGACAAAAGGTGAAGGATATTCCAAGATGAAAAGTGCACAGCAGGCCTAGGGAGCTATAGTTCCTGACTGGAAAGGATCAGAAGGTTCTGGGAGATACTTCCTCAGTTATTCTATAGGTTTCATGTTCTTAATGTATTTCAACTATTGAGAGGTGATTTATAAACCACAGAAAAGTGAAAGACAGACTTACTGTAAAGTGAAATAGAAAACTAACCAAATAGAGAAAAAACAAAAATGACAGCAATAGCATTAATTCAGTACGCTGTGACAGTAACTGCAAATTGCATTTGTGCTCTTCATGTTTTCTGTTAACTTTTCCTCATGCTTAAAAAGAAATCTGTTTAATAATGTGCTCTACTTATTTAATGAATGCATGAATACTTTGGGTTTGAACTCCATAATATCAAGACCAAATTTGTAAAAGACAAAATCTAGCCCAATTTCATTTGTTAAACATGCAAATTCTCTGACCACACTAAGAAGTATTTTTATCTGGGCCTGGATACTTGATTTCATTGAAACTCTCTCAATGTCTTGACTATTGAGTCCTACATTAATTTAAGATGTAAAATCAACTACTTAAGTCACCAGCTTTTTATTCCTCTTAAGCTATAAAACTTCACATCTGAAGGATAACGCTCTGCCTTGCTAGTATTATAATAGTGATGGCTAGCAATTGCATAAAGATTAAATAAAATTTGTCTAATGAATTCCTTCAATTTACAAGTACAAAAGCATTCCTAAAATTTTTGTTAAGAGCTGGGGTTGAGAATCTCAGGCACTGCTGGAAAGCATTTTCCCCACATTCCAGGTGAATGGTCACACAGGAAATCAGGTGAGTAAGATGTCAAATCATTGGAACCATCCTCTCAATCACCTTACCCAACTTCCTCCTTTTAAAAGGCACCTATAGGGTCTGGAAAACTGAAATGATTTGCCCAAAGTCAGACTCTGAAACGGTGGCCAGGCTAGTCTAGAATACAGTTTTCCTAATTTCCATCCAGCATCCATCCTACTGTTCTGGGCTGCCCTGATAAAAGGACGTATCCATTTAAAATGCAGGTGACTTCTATTTGCAGAAGACATGATACTATACATAGGAAACCCTAAAGACTCCACCAAAAAAACTACTGGAACTGATAAATAATTCAGTAAAGTCACAAGATACAAATCAATGTACAGAAATCTTGTTGCATTCCTATACACTAATAACGAAACAGCAAGAGTGAAATTAGGAAAACAATCCCAATTCACAATTGTACCCAAAACAACAAAATATCTAGGAATAAACTTAACCACAGAGGTAAAAGACCTATACTATAAAACACTGCTGAAAGAAGTTCAAGATGATGCAAAGAAATGCAAAGACATTCTATGCTCATGGGTTAGAAGAACAAATATTGTTAAAAATGTCTGTACTGCTCAAAGCAATCTACACATACAAAGCAATCCCTACCAAAACACTAGCAGAATTTTTCATAGAACTAAAACAATCCTAAAATTTGTATGGAAATACAAAAAGAGCCAAACCAATCTTGGAAAAACAAAACAACAAAACTGGAGGTATCACAAATCCAGACTGTTCTATTACAAAGCTGTAGTAATTAAAACAAGTTGATACCGGCATAAAAATAGACACAGAGATAAATGGTATAGAACAGAAAACCCAGAAATGAACCCAAGATTATACGGTCGTATCTTTAACAAAGGAAAAATGAATATACAATGGGAAAAAGTCTCTTCAACAAACGGTGTTGAGAAAACTGGTCAGTCACATGGAAAAGAGCAAAACCGGACCACTTTGTTAAACCACACACAAAAATAAACTCAAAATGGATTAAAGACCTAAATGTGACACCTGAAAGCATAAAAATCCCAGAAGAGAACAAAGGCAGTAATTTCTCTAACATCGGCTGCAGCAATATTTTTCTAGGTATGTCTCCCGAGGCAAGGAAAATAAAAGCAAAAGTAAACTACTGGGACTACATTAAAATAACAAGCTTCTGCACAGCAAAGGAAAAAATCCACAAAACTAAAAGCAACCTACTGAATAGGAGAAGATTTTTTAAAATTAATTTATTTATTTTAGAGAGAGAGAGAAAGAGAGAGAGAAGAGTGGGGGAAGGGGCAGAGGGAGAAGGAGAAAGAGTCTCAGGCAGACTCCGCACTGAGGGCAAAACTTGATGGGGGGCTCGATCTCACCACCCTGAGATCATGACCTGAGCCAAAACCAAGAGTCAGATGCTTAACCGAACTGCACCATCCAGGCACTCAGAGATGATACTTTTAAATGACATATCAAGAGAGGGTTAGTATCCAAAATATGTAAAGAACTGATACAACTCAATACCCCAAAAAAAACAAAAAATCCAATTAAAAAATGGGCAGAAGACACGAACAGACATTTCTTCAAAGAAAACATCTAGATGGCCAACAGACACGTAAAAAGATGCTCAACATCATGCATCATCAGGGAAATGCAAATCCAAGCCACAATGAGGTATCACCTCACGCCTGTCAGAATGGCTAAAATCGAAAACACAGAAACAACAAGTGTTGTCGAGGATGTGAAGAAAAAGGAACCCTCTTGTATTGTTGGTGGGAATGCAAACTGGTGCATCCATTGTGGAAGACAGTATGGAGGCTCCTCAAAAAATTAAGAAGAGGGGCGCCTGGGTGGCTCAGTGGGTTAAGCCGCTGCCTTCAGCTCAGGTCATGATCCCAGGTCCTGGGTTCAAGCCCCACATCGGGCTTTCTGCTCAGCGGGGAGCCTGCTTCCTCCTCTCTCTCTGCCTGCCTCTCTGCCTACTTGTGATTTCTCTCTGTCAAATAAATAAATAAAAATCTTTAAAAAAAAAAAAATTAAGAAGAGAAATACCCTATGATCCAGGAATCACACTACTGGGTATTTACCCCCCCCCCCACCAAATACAAAAAACATTGAGGGTTACGTGTACCCTATGTTTGTTGCAGCATTATTTTACAATCGCCAAACTATGGAAGCAGCTATGTCCATAGATAGATGAATGGATAAAGAAGATGTGGTATATATGCAATGGAATATTAAAAAAGAATGAAACCTTACCATTGGCAACAACCTGCATGAAGCTAGAGGGTAAAATGCTAAGTGAAGTCAGTCAGAGAAAGACAAATACCATATGATCTCACTCACATGTGGAATTTAAGAAACAAAACAAATGAGCAAAGAAAAAAGTGAGAGAGAGAAAGAAAGACACAAACCAAGAAACAAACTCTTAACTACTGAGAACAAACTGATGATAACCAAAGGGGAGATACATTGGGGAATGGGTTAAATAGGTGATGGGAACTAGAGAGTGCACTTATTTAAAAAAAAAAAAAAAAGGCAAACTTATATCCATCCATACTGGTAAGTGCATTTAATGTAACTGGATTGCACATTCCATGTAAAAGATACATAAAATGAAAATGCAAGTGCTTTGTTTCACTGGTAGACTTAAACACTATTCTGATACACTGATGGCCACTACAAATGCTACACAGCCCTTTTGATGTCCTTGAGACTGAACCTGAAAACCAAATTATTCTGTTTTTCACCCACTGGTTTAACTGCCATGGGGACAAAAAAAGAAAAGAAAAGAAAATTCTTGTGTCTATTTTCCTTAAAGAAAAGTACCAAATTTCCACACACCAAGCAGAAGCAGTTTAGAAAATTGTGTAGTAAAATACTCACTTCACAACTCTGCCATCTGTTTGGAATATTTGGCCTTAACTTCTGTTCACAAACAACTTTTCTCATTTCTTCAACTGATGGATCAGAAGGTACGAGATCATAATAAGGCAGCTGGTAATCTTCATGAATTCCTATATTGGTTAAAAAAATTTTTTTGAAAAATTTACTCAGATAATGCTAGACTATTCTTTGTCTAGGAACACCCAAGAGTTCTATTTCAGGGTTTCATTAATTAATTAGTGAAGTGGAACAGGACTTATAGCTTGCTCTGTCTCATCGACATCTGCCATCAACAGCCCATCTGAGTTGGTACTGGGCCCATACCCTGAAACTAAGTATCACTGTGGGATCAGCAAAGACTCTTTTAATGATGGTTAACCACGAGCTGTAATGACCTGATTATCTTTTCCCAAAGAACCCTCATGTGCAAGAAATGAGAGTTTTTATTCTGTGAGTGCTCAGCCTTGGTATAAGCATAGACACTTTACCATGGAGATGTAAATCCTACAAGCAAATCTGAGGTGTAAGTCCTTTACCTCTACTTGGATCTGTCCTCTTTGCTACAAAACAGAGACACACTCTCCCTCTTACTGCCACATAAACCTGAGTCCCTAATCTCAACCAAGCCTGGACCCCGCAAGGATGAGAAACTATTGCTCAAGCAAATATCCAAAGTGCTCAATCTAAAATTTACTTAAAATAAACTTAGTTTAAAAAGTAGTGAAATGGCAATATAACTATATTCTGTATATGTAACTTTCAGCTAAGAAGTTAGACAAAATAACCACATTCTTGGCGGGGGAGGGGAGGGGAGAGGGAATGAATTTGACCCAGGTACATGCTAGAAACAGCCTCCTGGGTGGCCTCTCCATTCTAAATAACTATATTTAGATATATATAACAAGGGCTTATAACAAGATAACAAGGGCTTGGTTTCTGATGCTTCCCAAGATTCAAATGGAAAGAGTAAAAGAATATACTAGAAGTGTGTCATTGCATTTCCTCTTACTGCAGGTTTATCTCCTTTATTTTCTTTGGCACTCTCAGTGATCACCTGGTGAACATAATTTTAGACTGTTGATGTGTATGATTTTATTCAGTAAAGGGAAAAAAAAAAAGGCTCTCCTGGAACAGCCTCTGTTCATGACAAACTGTTGGGGGAAGGGGAGAAATTTACCACCAATGGAACATCGTCGAGCTATTTCCCAGAATACTAAGCCCATTGCATAGATGTCAGCACGTTTGAAGGATTCAAAGTGTTTCATATTTATGGAATCATCTAGAACTTCAGGGGCCATGTACCTAAAAAAGAAGTCAGCAATTTACTCTATAGAATGGTGGTCACATTACTCTTGAACGGTTTCATATATTTTTTTTCTCCTGAGAAATTTTTTAAAAAATCAGTATTAACTTTAAGACTTTTCTCCCCTTTCAGCATGGTTCTGCTACTTTTTTTTTTTTTTTTAATTTATTTCACAGACAGAGATTACAAGCAGGCAGAGAGGCAGGCAGAGGGAGAGAGAGGAGAAAGCAGACTCCCTGCTGAGCAGAGAGCCCGATGCGATCCCAGGACTCTGGGATCACGACTTGAGCTGAAGGCAGAGGCTTTAACCCACTGAGCCACCAAGGCGCCCCGGTTCTGCTACTTTTTAAAATGACTCATAACTCTTATGGAAATTTTCCCAAAGTTCATAAAGTACAAAGTGAAAAATCATTCCATTATAACCACCCAGTGTTAACACTTTGATCAACATTCACAAATATTATATAGCCAAGATCATATTAAACTCAAGAAAAATATTTAATATCCAAACTGATTTGAAAATTAATGATATAAACTAAATGTCATGAAAAGCTGAAATAGCAATTTGATGCTATCTAGCTATCTTATGATCTTAGTTTCCAATGGAAGACACATATGTGGGGCGCCTGGGCTGCTCAGTGGGTTAAGCGTCTGCCTTTGGCTCAGGTCATGATCTGAGGGTCCTGGGATCGAGCCCCGCATCAGGCTCCCCGCTCAGTGGGAAGCCTGCTTCTCCCTCTCCCCCTGCTTGTGTTCCCTCTTCCCCTGCTTGTGTTCCCTCTCTCGCTGTCTCTCTTTCTCCGTCAAATAAGTAAATAAAATCTTCAACAAAACAAAACAAAACAAAACAAAAGAAAGACACATATGTAACAATCATGACTATTATCAATGTCTTAACATACACCACCTACATTGTCAAGTACTATGCAGGGACCACATAATTTAATCTAGAAGTCTTCTCACTAAAACAGGATGGAAGGCAGAATGAGGACATAATCCAGGGAACAAAATAATAGATAAAAAATGAATGCCAGTCCTCCTACTGATGCCACATTGTAGGGTTCTTAAGTTTTAAAAATGCTACTAAGGTTACAGATCAGGATTCCTGAAGACCTGCAGCAACCACTGTCCTGGACCCCTAAGTCAAGAGTTCTGAGAGTCCTTGTTGAATCCAGAAATCATAAATACAACTGAGATAGAATGAAGCTTGGCTCTACCTAAGGCCAAGGCAGTAGCGTGAAGATACGCTGTGGCAACATGCTGTGACAATACACAGAGTAAGGCCTTTTGGGTCAGAAAAACCTAGGTTCAAATCTCAGCTCCTTAGGTTACCATCTGTATGAGGCTGACCCCATTACTTAATTTCCACGGGGCTGTTTTCTCATCTGTGAAATGAGGGCAATGACATCTACCTAGTCATGTTCCTTAGAAAACTCACGGATTCAACAAATGTTTACCGAGGATCTACTATGTATTAGGCACTATAATGGACTCTGGTAATACAAGTCTACTCTCAAGCAGCTTGCAATCCAGCAGAATACACAGACAGTAAATGGAGAGTTAGAATACGCTAAGTGCCTTAATGGTCCAGGTTCAGCCTGCTATGAGAGCCCTTGGTAAGGGCACCTCAGTCTAGAAAAGGTTTCCTCTGAGAAAGGGTGAGTCAAATCAGGGAAACAGCAGGGCAAAGTCTACTCTAAGATACAGTACATGCAGAAATTCTAAGGAAGAAAGAAAGGTGTATCTCCAGGAACTAAAAATCAGAAAATGGTTGGGCTAGCTATCATATAGCATTTGAAGAGATCATTAACTGAGATTATATATATAAATTATATATGACATATTAAAATGATTGGCACATATTGGGAACCCTATAAACATCAGCTACCATTACTATTATAACTAATATAATGAATGATAATATTTTCTGGAAGGGCCACCTTCATCAACAGGCATCTTTAAAAGTCAGGTAACCTTGGCTTCAGAGCAGGCAAGACCATGAGATCTTCTACCTGTGGGCAATCTAATAAAGTAGAGGTTTGAGTTTCAGAAGATATGTACATACAAACGAGAAGGAAATGAAAAAGTTGATTTCAGAAGATATTAAACACTCTTCACAAGCATACCTTTTTGTTCCCACTCTGTGATTTGGAGCAATATCTATTGTATCTGTGGCTGAATCGTGTCTCACTGCCAGTCCTAAGTCTGCAATACAGCAAGTTCCATTCTTCTTTACCAAGATATTTTTGGATTTCAAATCTCTATGAGCAATGGCTGGTTTCCCTAAAGAAACAAAAAGTAAATGTGATTGCTTAAAAGGTGATACCAATCACAGTTCTACCATTTAGGCTCAAAGCCTCTACTCCAGCATTTCAGCCCACATTGCCCACAATGCCTGACATGACTAAACAACCTCAAGTAAATCGTTATACCAAAAGTTGCTGAAATTACATTTCTTCAAAGAAAAGAGAAAAAAATAACATGCTCCAAAAGATGGTGCTCAAAAAACCTAAGTCTAACAACTCAAAGACTGGGAGTTAAAGATGTTTGTTGATATCTTATGAATTATTTATGGAACTCTTGTCACAGACTGGTATTTCAGTCCAAGGACCAAGCACCTACACCACTTCCTTTACCCACCAACTGTAATATACTCAATATAAAATTTACAATCTTTAATACTAACAATGGAAATCCTGGAGTCCTCCTATACTGCTGGCAGGAATGTAAAATGCTGTAGCCACTTTAGACAAAAGAGTCATACTCTAATAGTGCTTCAAAACCATTAGTGACTGTATAATCCAGCAATTCCACTGTGTAAGAGAACTAAAAACATATACCCACCAAAAAAGTATACACCAATGTTCATAGCAGCATTATTCACAAAAGCCAAAAGTGGAAACAACCCAAGTGTCCTTCAACCAATGGACAAATGCGGTATACCCAAACAATGAAATACTACTCAGCCATAAAAAGGAATGAACTACTGATACATGCTATAACATGGATGAATCCCAAAAACATGCCAAGAGAAAGATGCCAGTCACAGAAGACTACATATGATATGATCCCATTTATAGGAACTATTCAGAATAAGCAAATCTAAAGAGGCAGAAAATAGATTAGTGGTTGCTCAAGATTAAGGAGTTTGGGAGGAAATGGGGAGTGACTGCTATGGGCAAAGTGTTTCTTCTTGAAGAGCTGAAACGTTCTAAAACGGACTGTGGTGATGCACAACTCTGTGAATATACTAAAAGCCACTGAATTATGCACTTAAAATGGGTGACTTATATGACATGTGAATCATAACGCAACAGACCTGTTATTATCAACAGTAATGATTACAAAGATGAGGGAGGCTAAGATGTGAAAGCATGTGTGTAGTAATGTGGGGAGTGAGGGAGCCACCAGGTGGCAAGGGGATAATCACTAGAGAAGAGAGATATATTGGCATTTGATACCCTACATGGCACAAAAATCATACCATAACAATTTCATAACTAAAATTTAGTATATAATTTTTCAACTACAAAATGATCTCATGCAGTCTCCTTATCTCAGGGTCAAATATAATTATTAGATGGCCAGATAACATTAGGTGGTGGCATGCTGATTTTTAAAAAGCATGTTTCATATTACATTTGATACTACACATAAAAACACACATTCTGTCAGACTTGAATTCTCAAATCAAGATCCTCAAAAATCACAGGACCAGATGCTACTTTTAAGAACTCACGTATCAGTGTTGCTACAATGAGAGACTCTCTAAACAAATTCCCCTATTTCTAACTTCACCTGAAATTTTCAACAGAAAGATAAAATAATTTCATCAAAATTTTAAATCATTTTAAATTTAAAATTCATTTTAAACATCTTCATTTAGGCTGACTTCTTACAAAAATTTTCTAACGGGCATTAGATTCATGGGAATTTCAAGCTTAAATAACATAAGTATTTTGAGTTACCTTGGGTACCAACAATCTCCATGTGGAGATGGGCAAGTCCGCTTGCTGTGGACAAAGCAAGTTTTATCATTCCTTCCACAGTAACTGTATATCTGTTCAAATAATCAAAAAGGGATCCATGCTCATGATAATCTGACACCAACCAGAGCTGAGTCCATGTACCATTGTCTGTAGAGGAGAATAACAATGTTTCAAATGGGTTGCAGAACATCCATTTATCCATTCAAAATTTACCACTCTTTTACTCAGTCCTGAATTCCATGACTGCAACATGATGACCATACTTAAGTCTGTATGTTATTTCCTTCATATTTTCACTTTGTCTCACACTATTACATACATAGCTTTTAGATCCTCTGAGTAAGCCCCCTATTCTTGAGATAAGGCAAGGAGAACTAATCCCACTTAAGAGATAAGGAATCATAGTTCAAAGATGGTGATTTTGAATCTACACAGAAGATAGCAGAGCTGGGACTCCTGAGTGGCTAGAAAAATGTTTGGTTCAGGTTGGGTGCTCAGTGGTTCTTTCTAGAAGGAGGAAAGGAAAAGGGAGCATGAGGAAGATTAAAAGTATCTGGAGCCCACTGTGGCTACAGTAGGTAGGAATGGAATAGTATAGGACAAAACTGAAAGTGAGCTTAAATGAAGAAATGCAAGCTTTAATCACAGACTGTACATTCAGTTCACAAAGAATTCAGATAAGAGGATTATGATTCCAAGGTTTCCAGCTCAGAAAAAATATAAAAATAGTGGTATCATTGACAAATGGGAAAGCTGGGACAGGTCAGGAGGAAAAAAAGCTGGGACTGAATCCAGTTTTACATAAGGTGATTTTGAACCTCAACAACCAGGAATATGTATTCCAAATATTTGTCTATAAACTAATACATGGATTTGAAATGTGTTTTCCCATGGAAATCGTGGTAAAGATTCTGGCTAGGCTTCTAGGTTAGGCTGGTCCACAAAAGCTTATCTAGCATAGGAATAGCAAGAAAACCACATACCAGGAAGCAGCACAATTCAGTAAAAGATACACACTTGAGGGTCATCCTGCCCTGGGGTGAAATCCAGGGCCTAGTTATTATTGACTATGTGACCTCAGATAAGTGAGGCTCTGTTCCTTCTTTTACACAGCAAGAACACCTTACTTTTGCAAAACTGTTAAGAAGATTTAAAAAACAGGACAACCTTAATTAAGCATTTAGTAGAATGCATGGCTCATAAGAACTTAAAATGGGTTATCCCCTTTCCCTAATGGTTGCAAAAAACAACAACAAAAAAAACCCACCCCAACTGACATAAAATAGATTCTATATTTTAAGGCTGTTACTTCAAGGAAAGTAACTGATTAGATGAGATGAAGAAGGGTATTTTCAGAAGATTTGGGAGGGGATTTCTGGGTACTTTCGAGAGAATTTAGATACTCAGGACACTAGTTCTTTACAAATTTTATATATAAACAAAGTTTATTCTTCCTAAACTTTATAAACTGATTCTACTCAAATGTATAGCTTTTCTTTTCCCTGATACAAATGCATCACCATTTGTATCTGCATGCTTATTAATCATGACTGAATTCTGAAAGGATGACAAAGAGGAACACAGGCAGATGGAAGAAAGAGAGATTTTCTGAGGTAATTAACAAGAGAGGCAGAAGAAGGACATGTAAAAGGCTGTGTAATATAAAGGGTTGCCTGAGGGGGAATTAACTAAATCAGGAGGATAAAGATAAAGGAGAAGAGAACTGGGGTGGATGTAGCCCATCCTACAATGTTTGTAGGACGGACAAAGTCCATTAACCCCTGACGAAGAAAGAAGAGGGTAGTGAAGAAGCAAGAGGGTGAGCCAGTTCCCATGGTGACCACCAGATGACAGCACCAGCTTGGCTGCTGCCTGAGCAAATGGGGAAAAAAAATTTCAGGGCACAGCAGCAAGGGCATTTTCTGCCAGGCTGCTTGCAACTTGGAACGTGTCTAAAACATGTTGGGCTTGGGTGAGGTTTGAGCCCCAAAAGGCAGATTTAAAAGCAACCACCACAGTAGAGTTTGAAACTATGCATGTGGCTAAGTCCTTAAAGGGAGCAATTACTGTTTGCAGACCTAGAGCCTTCACACAAATCAATAAAAAGAGTTTTTAGAAAACAAACATAACTATTAAGAAGTAAGAAATGAACACAGAAAATCTACAGTCACAGAACATTGTCTGTAAGGTTGTTTTAAGAGTGAGAAGGGAAACTAAATGGTGCCAAAGGCAGAAGAAAATGAAAACAAAGGACTTAATCGAACTATGACCACTGCTTTTATTTTTACATTAAGTAATACTGAATTAGAAGTAGCCACTGATACATCACTGCCTACATCCATCACATTCATCACTGCCCCAAGTCACAAAAAAGAGATAATCAAGAGGCCCCTGGGAGGCTCAGTCAGTTAAGCATCCAACCCCTTCTTTTCTGCTCAGCTCAGGATCTCAGGATTGTGAGATCAAGCCCCAGGTGGCGTTCAGCGGGGAGTCTGCTTAAGATTCCTTCCCCTTTCTCCCTCCCTGCCCTCCCCATCTGCTCTTCCACCCTGCTCATGCTCTCTCTCTCTCTCTAAAATAAATAAATAAAATATTTTTTTTAAAAAGAGAGAGAGAATCAAATTTGTATGGCTCCTAATGTGATACACATATCGGTATATAATATACAATATACAATACATTTTATACACGTATATCATATAAAGTGCATAATATATAGGCAGGTATACAATATTTTCAGGAAATCAATAAAATTACTCAGATTGTCTCTAATCCTAACTACCAGTTTTTAAATACAAGGAGCAAGTTCAGAGATACTATGGAAATTCAATCAACACAATCCAGAATATGATAAGCCCTACAGGACAAACAATCCAGTTCTTCAAGAAACTACAAGGAAAAAAAAAAATGAAGAGGAACAAAGCAATTTTAAGGGATTTAAATTAAATATCAACCAAATGCCATCTGTGGATTTTGCATCCTAAAAGTGAATAACCAATTTTTAAAAAAAAAAAAATGCACAACTGCAGAAATGTGAAACTGACTGTATACTGATGACATTTTAAAAATTAACAGTAGTGTGGTCACGTTGCATTAAGATTCCTTAATCTAAAGATACAAATGAAACGTGTTTATGGATAAAAAGATGTATTATCATATCTTTGGCTTCAAATAATTCAGAGGCAGAGTAGGTGGAATCAGATCAAATACGATTGGCAATGAGCTAATCACTTTTGAAGCTGGGTGACAGGCTCTATTCGCTCCACTTTTCTATGTATTGGAAATTTTCTAGAAATAAACTCTAAAAAAGAAAAAAGTAATAACTGCTTACTGTTAATAAATTCAAAAATATAGGAAAGCAAAAGGGAAAATCATTAAACAGTATTCTGAAGAAATAAATACTTGAAGAAAATGGTAAGGGAGAGGAGGAAAAAGAGGACCATAGTTCTGGCCAATCTCAAAGAGAAAGTGGTAGCACGCATCTGATTGCAGGCAGGGATGATGAGAGTGCTAACAAGAGTCTCTGATGAAGCTACAAAAGCAGGAACTATGGGCACAACAGTAGAAGCCGGAGCCAAGACAGCAGATGAAGTACAGGGTGAAACCACTGGTCCCCGTCAGCACTCATTCTGACTCTCCACTGACATAGCTTCCGTGCTTCTTGCAGCATCGAACTGATCCAGGGCCCCAGGCACCTGTACCACAGGCAAGAAAGCGGCTAGACGGTTGGTTACCTATGGGCACGGTGGCCCTGGAGAAACTATTTCTCTGCTTAATGGAATTGATTTAAAAGTTTATTTAAAAGACTACTTAGCCCCTGCCAACTTAAAACACAGAATACACTGAGAAGTTATTTTTAACAGATAAGGTCATTAGTATCTATTAGAATGCCCTAATGGTCATGAAGAAATGTAAAGGAAACAGATCTCTGGGCTCTAACTTACCTCAAAATTTTGAGCACCCAGAGTTTATAAAACTCTATCTTTTCTATGCTATGACTATACTCAAATAACTAACTGCCTAAAACCAAAATAACAAAAGCACATCACTTTTAAATTTAACAATGGCTCTTTTATCTTATAGAACAATTGGAGATTTAGAAGCATGTCATGAGTCAAGAAAATCTTTAAGAAGTTCCTGTTTGTAAAGGTTTCTCATATATTCTATTTGACTTAATGAGTTTAATCTGTATGACAAACATTTATTTCTCATCAAATCTGACAGTGTTTAGTAGCTATATTTGTAGAAAGGCTCAAACAGATTTCATTATACTCAAAGGAGAAGCAGATGTTACTGACCTTTATTGTCTGCTGCTATAAATCCCAGGATGTTTTCATGACGTAACATTACGGTCTGATAAATCTCTGCCTCACGGAACCATGAGCGCTCTTCTCTAGAGGAGAATATTTTAACAGCAACTTCTTCTCCTCTCCACTTTCCCCGCCAAACTTCTCCAAATCGACCTTTGCCAATACTTTCTTGTAACACAATAGTTCTTGCAATTGTTCTCTGAACAAGCAATGGTAAACCTGAAAATGAAAATAGGCATTAAGGAGTGACAGAATAACTCCAAAAGCTCTATCTTTAAGGAACTTACAATCTCACTGAGGAGTGACAAACTACATTTGCAAAAAATAGTAATTCATAATAAAATGAAAATAAGATAATAAATATAATAGAAGAATCTAGAATCTGCCTAGAGAGTCCAGGTAGGCTTTATAAAGTAAGTTGAATTTGACTGTCCTTTACAGAAGGGATAGGACCCCAGGAGAAGAGGAGAGAAGGTTTTCAGGTAGAAGGAATATTAAAGCAAAGGTAGAAGCGAGAAATGAATGGATGAAATGAATGGATGTTTATGGAACCAGCTCAGTTAAACAGAAGGTGATGTGTATGGGAAAGCAGTGGAAGAGAGGAAAGCTGTCAGAGTATGAAGGGTACGGAATGCTGAGCTCAAGATGACCACTGAGAGGGGTGCCTGGGTGGATCAGTGGTTAAGCATCTGCCTTTGGCTCAGGTCATGATTCCAGGATCCTGGGATCGAGCCCCACATTGGGTTCTCTGTTCAGAAGGGAGCCTGCTTCCCCTCTCCCTCTGCCTGCTGCTCCCCCTGCTTGTGTGCGCACTCTCTCTCTCTGTGAAATAAATAAAATCTTTAAAAAAAAAAAAAAAAGACCAATGAGAGCTATGGATAAAACAGGAACTACTAAAAATTTCTGAAAAGGGTTCATGAATGAGGAGAAGCAATTTAAAAATCTTATTTTAGAAGGATGAATCTGGTTAACGGTTTTATTGATGGGAGGAGAAAAGTATGTGAACACAAACATAAAATCAGTATGTACAATCCATACTGATTTTAAAAAATCAGTAAAAATTACCACACAAACCATTTTAAGACAAGTAATTTATGTGCTAGGAATTGGCTGCATAGGCAACATTAGTATCTTAAAGAATGATGCCAAGTAACTGAACGTGGTGATGGGACGCTGGCATTATTTCACCATCCGAACATGCCCTATTCTAAAATATGTATTTTTAAAATATTGCCACACTTACTTGTTTACAGAAAAGGATTTTTCACTACCTACAACATTTAAGTATCACTATATGTGGGACTATTCCAATTCACTCAATATCATATCCCCTCATAGACTAAGTTAAGTGTTATATTATACTAACCCTGACAATAAAAATACCAGTATAAATCATGTTCTACAAACTACTCTTTCAGACAATCTATACACATAAATTTGTGTAATTTATAATCTATATTCAGAGTTCCTTGCTAGACCAAATTAGCCCAATGGTAGTACATGAAATTATGTGCTGTCTTTGGTTTCCTGATGTGAAATATTTCTTAATTGAAATGTTAAGTCTTTAAAGTGATCAGAAGTTTTTTCTCTTTTCATCTCTAAGTTTCTCAAATGGGTCCTTTTCCTCTCCTTGCTCTCTATCCTCCCCACCTCTGGCAAAGCAGTTAGCAGTCTGATTATAAATAATTGTTTTTATGTTTATAAGGAGGTGGCTAGCTAAAAATAGATCTGTGAAAAATCCTTATTTAAATCAAGGAGCTCTTTTATATTATGAAGATTCTTAATTATGTGGTTTAGTATAGATACTAATCTATAAAATTTTCTTATAGCCTTTGAACGGGGTCATATCATATACTTAAAGTATACTTAAGAGTTAACTTCAGGAGGCTACTCTGGAAGTTAGAAAGGCAAGGAGTACAGAAGAAAGGGGAATTACACATGGGAAATCTGAAAATGTCTAACACATTCATGTCCCATGTAAATGATATGGCCAAGAAAGGCTACCAGGACAACGAAAGTTTTTGTCTCCCCATTATCACTGGATTCTAGATACCAAACTAAAATTCAAAGCCAAATTGAGATTCATCATATTATCTATATTTAGTTACCATAACTGACATGAATATATGAGCATTTTTAAAAAGTAGTAATTTTCTTCTAAAGAGAAAAATAAATAGGCCTAATTCAAATCTCTATGTTCTCTGCTTTCCTCTTCTCTTTCCTTACAACTGCTTGAGAGAAAAACTTCCATAGGGAAACAAGGGTCTGTGCTGCTTTGCATGCAGTGAACAGCAGAGGTAAGACCCAAACAACCTGCATGCACTGTTGTGAGAGACCACAGGCATGAACAAGCATAATGAGCAGTGGCCCTAAGAGACTCACTCTCTTTCAGAAACTGGCACATATGCACACACACTTTAACAGCAGCTTAAATAAGGGCACACATACAACCTGTGATTCAAATTTACACAACAGGGATTAGGTTAGCTTCAGACGTAGAGCTGCCCACAGTTCCCAAGTTAAAGATACAGTCTTTGAGAAATAGAGATAGACCTTTCCTCCACTAAAGTCATGGTACTGAATAATAAACATATGAATATAACATGAAATGTTTAGTTTTACCTTTTCTCAATGAGCAAAAGAACTAAAGAATGTATACATAAAGCCATTGTACTGATTCACAGTCATGAGTCCCATCCATGAGACAGCGTTAAGGCTTTATAATGAATAGAAGGGAAACAGGTGGCATTTTCTGCTATCACTCAACACAAGATAGCTTCTGTCTCAATAAATCTGGAGGCCATTCAGCACATAATGAACTATGACGGGGAAAGGAGGCCTTCAACTAAGTTTTTTTGGTACAATGCAGCAAATTAATACCATATGTCAGATTTTTCTTCCAAGTATCTTTTCAATAAGTGTAACACCTGTCATTTGGACATAACTACAATTTATCAAAACATCTTGTCTCATTTGAACCTCACAACAATCCAATGACGTGTACAGGGCAGGGTTCATTACTTTCATTTTAAAGATAAAATAACTTGGGCATGAGACATCAGCTAACTGCCCGAAGCCACAGAGCTAGCAAACAATGTAGACAAGTTTTTTGCAGAGTAAGGCATAAAAGGAAAGAGAGAAACTCTCAGACAACAGAGCTGTGGTTCCTGATGCATCTAAAAATACAGGTAAAATGGAAAAAGAGCGATTTCATTACTGACTTCATGTCTGCATCCTGAAAAGTAAATAAATGTATTCTTATTCAGAAATCAGCTGCCACCCAGAAAGCAATTTCTTCTAATCCTTTAGGTAGGCTGATTCCCCCGGAGGCCTGATACAGCACTACCGTGCCAAGTGGCATGAGCACCTGTGATTTCTCTGGGTGTAAGTCTGGCAACGAGGGATTAATTCCAAATGAGCTTTAGACACCCTGATTTTCTGGGACTTTGGTCTTTGTTTATCATAGTTTTCTGATCTAGGATGACTTCTAGAATGAGCCAAATCTCCTTTGATAATGCTTTACATTAACTCAGAATCAACTGGAAACTCCAGGGAAACCCTAAAACAAGCTCTCTCCTCTCCTCTACCACTCTGGCCCAAAGACTGTCACATCTTCAGTGCCAAGGCTGTTCCATCTCAATCCAAATTCTTGCTGCCTCCCTGCTCACTATGGTCTCAGGGATCCTTAAAGGCTGTCTTGAGGGACCTAGGTTCCAGTGGCAAGCCTGTGTGTGTCCAGTGTCATGGACAGAAGTCACTTACTGAACATACATGGCCAACAGACGACTTCAGACCAAGAAGTCAGTTTCTTCATACTTTTATGACTCAAAAGATATGCATATAAATCAATATATATTCATTTACTTAAACAGACATTTGTCACTGCATGAACTTTTGTAGTACTGTATGTGATTTCATGCTTTACTCATATTCTCCCCCCAGTCACAACTTCTGCTTTAATGTTCGTTTAGTCACTTAATTATAAAATTATAATATATAATTATAAAATTAGTGAGATTTTTCTTTTTTTAATTTTATTTATTTGACAGTCAGAGATCACAAGTAGGCAGAGAGTCAGGCAGAGAGAGAGGGGGAAGCAGGCTCCCCGTTGAGTAGAGAGCCCGATGCGGGGCTCGATCCCAGGACCCTTGGCATCATGACCTGAGCCAAAGGCAGAGGCTTTAACCCACTGAGCCACCCAGGTGCCCCTAGTGAGATTTTCATTATGTATATTTTCAAATATACATATTTTCAAATCTTCATTTTATCCATGAACCAGGGCTTTCTTTGAAGTTGATTTATATTTTTCAAGACAGTATATCTCAGTATCTGTTCCATATTTGTGATGAGGAAACAGAAGCCCAAAAGAAGAAACACAGTTTAACCAAGGTCAGAGCCAACCAAAGATAAACTTGCACTGAAATCTAGATCTCTTGATTCCTAGCCCAGTGTCAAATTACAATATTGTGAAGGACAGGGGTCTGCCTCTCTTAGCATCCTTTCAAAGCACATGCAAGTGAAAAAAATAAATCCCTTTCAGTTTAAACATGAAGCACCACTGTACCAAAATCTACTTCAAGGGATGATTCTGGCAATTAGCCAGTCTATTTCTGAAACCACAAGAATCAGCAAATGGAACTGAGAAAAGCAAACATCACAGAGGCCATGGATCCATAAAACTATATGAGATAACAAGGTGGTTAGACGTTTTTTAAAGTGAGAAAATCATTAGTTTAATAAAAAATTAGGTCTGAGCTAAAGACAGCAATTTCATATGTTAAAAAAGCAAATAACCTTCACAATTCCAAACACATTTTCTGTCATGCTTGCTTTCAAGTATAAAAATAAAGCTGCTAAACAATCCTGAATAGAATGGGTAGCCGCAGATCATTTGAGTATTTGTCAACTTCAGCCTCATCCATAAGAAAATAATTATCCTTATTCTTTCTATCTCATGGAGTCATAAGGTGAGAAAGCTTTGCAATTTATACAAACAGGAAGCTGACTTACTTATTTCAACAGTAAAAGTACATTCTAATTTTCTATGCTAAAATAGTCATAGTCAGACTTCTATTGGGCTTAAGGTTGAACTTAGTATTCACACTAAGTTTTAAACACACTAAGCCAAATTGGCTTAACCAACTAATAAAATAAATAATACAGCTAACTTTTAGAAGATTCCTTAGGAAAAAGGAAAAATAATTCCCTTACCTGATCCAGAACCTGATGTCGTCATATCATAAATTAAATCTTTTAATGTAGTGCCCTCCGAAATAAAAGGGCGATCTAAGGAAGGATCCTCTTCATTTGGCACTCGATGGTGAATCACAGTACGGTTATGGCAGATATAAACCATCAACATGAGTGAGATGCAGACGAAGCAGACTGGTCCAGCAATGACAGCTGCCAGTTCAACGGGACCAAGGCCAGATGAGGGCTTTCCTGAAAAAGGGCCTCAAATGAAATAAACATCAACAATAGCAAAAACACTGAAGGTGGCAACTGCAATTTCTTAATCCTCCATATTTCCTATACTTGGCCACTACTCCCGTTAGTCAGAGATCCATTCCAGAAGCTCACAGGGCTCAGATCCAGAACAAGTGAATCATCCAGACTTCACCCATTGGCCCCCCCCTTCATGATCACCAGCTCAGTCAACATCCACTTACTCTTCCTCTGCTCTTCAGCTTTCAACTAAGGAAGTAACTTTCCCATTCTTGGGATGTTTATTTGATTTCTTATGATCCAATCCTAATTCTAGTGATTTCTTTTAAGAAGAAGGGTCCTTATACACTGAATACTTAATTCTCTAAAGATGGCTATTGCTTTTATATATGGAAAATCTTGGCTGATCTAAAGAATTCTGGTTAACAATTAATACATATGATGTTTCACTGCCTTTCGGTATTTTAAAAAAAGAAGAAAATCTGAACTTTTTCTGTCTCTAAGAGATAAGCTGTGTTACCTTATGCTGAATGCATAAACAATATTTTTCTTTGTTCTTAAAATTGACATATTTTTATTATATGTATTTGGTTAAGTATTTTTTTTTCATTAATTTCATTAATTTTGCTAGCACATTCTTTTCTGTCTGCTTCTATGTCATTTTCTGGAATTTTTGCAGTAAGTATATTGGGTCACCTAGATTTATCCTCTATCTTAATTTGTTCACTATCTTTTCTCCCTGAATTATAACACAATTTCTCAAGCTTGTCTTGCCCTAAGCTTTTCTCACACTAGGCTATAAAATATTAGTCTCCAGTCTGCTACTCACTTTCAGTATTACATTTTTTAAAATAATCAACTGAGCTTTTCATCTAAAAAAGTGATCTTTAACCGAAAATGAACTTTGGACTATCTGAAAGTTCTTCCCTATCATGACATCTACCCAGTTCAGTTCACTTCTTTTGAACCACTGAATCTTTTTATTTGGTAATTTTTTTGCGTTTGCTTAACAGAGACCTGGGAATGAGGGATTTATGTATGTTTAGCATTAGAAATCAAGTTAGTTCTTCACAGGCTTTATGAGCCCTCATTTAGATATTTCGAGCCCAAATAATAGAAATGGGAAATTCTGGAATTACAATTTTCTTTTTCATATTAGAATTGCAGATACCCTGAACAGAACTCAGAAAAATTATAGTCCAATAGAAACTTGCCATGGGAAAGCTTCCCTGTAATGCTGAATATCTGGTTTTACTCTGCTGTTAGCACTCGAATGAAGTGCAGGACTGCCTCCCCCTGTAACCTGTGGAACTGGCCCTTTTCTGCTGGGCCACAGCAGTGCTTCCTACTTCAGTCAGCATGATGCCTGGACCAGATGAGTGGAGAGTGAGCACTGTGGTCTGCCTCCCAGAGCAATGAAACCAGGTGATTCTTCCTAAAGGAGAATGGAGCCTTTGCTCCTATAACCTCCTCACCTCAAACCCCTCAGAGTTTAAGGTTTGGTGGGATTTGTAAGAGGTCCTTTCACTTACTTCTTTTCATATGGGTAGTCAATCTTCACTAGTCTGAAGTTATCTGCAGTATAAATTAAAGAAGTTTCTCACAAGCATAGGAATGAGGGTAGTATTCTTCCATCAATTTGGCTAGCATGAATACAAGTTTCCTGCATTTTTATATTCCTCTGATTATAACAGTAGAAATTTGGGATTTGAGGAAGGATAGGCTCAGACTAAGATCTTAAACCAGAACCTGAAAATTAAACTAATCCTAAGAGTGTATAAAGCCTTCAAATTCCTGGCTCTGCTTGGACACTGTAAAATGTAAACTACAGTGAATGACAAAAAACTTAGAAATCATATGATTTATACACAAAGATCATAAAGCCAGGTTAAAATTACAAAATGAAGGCATCTGGGCTGTTTAGTGCTGCCCATTATCAATTACTTTAAAAGGCTGGATGATTATACAAGGAAAAGAAACCCACTCTAAGGATAAAGTAGGGACTGCCTGAGGACATACTGCTAGGGCAGCTTTGTCAGAATTTCACGTTTAAGAGGCTAGCCTTTTAGGCCTAAGTGACCTCAAAGAAAGTCTATTACTGGAACCACGTTGTCAAACAACACAACACCCACAAGTCGGGATCTTGGCTACTCCTTTAACTCTACAACCACTGACAAGTTCCTTCTTGCCTCTGAACTGGATTCTAAGATCCCTTCCAGTTCTAAAACCATAGTCGGAATCAGCTTTTCTTGCAGTGTTAAGAAAAAAAAAATCTTATACAACAACTTACCAACAGTTGGGAGTTCTATTTTATTGCAATGGTCCTGGTTGCAGCAATAGGTTGTAGTAACAGACCTAGTTTTTGAAGACGGTGCACATACAAATGGTCTGTCTCGAGGAATTAGGTCAATTTCAGCTATACACATGCTATTGTGTATAACTTTGTCGGTGGTCTCTGTGACAGAGACAAAGCAGAGCCCATCTGTCACACAAGTAAAATTGTCTTTTGTACAAAGGTGGCAAAAACACTGTAATGCTGGAAAAAGAGAATAAGATTCTCTTAGAAAAAATTCTCCAGGTTAACAATTTGAAATTATCCCATATTCCCTAAAATAATACATTCCTGATCCTATTATAATCATACAATTTCTCTGCACTGCTCAAAAAACAAAACTCTTATTACTCTCAGAAGTTCCAAATTCTGTGAAAACCACACATACATATGAGCCAAATATGGTAAAATCTGGACCCAGGTTTTTTTCTAAAACCTTTTTGCTTCCAAGTACAAATTCTTACAAGTAATTTCATTAAGTTAAGGCAAGCATTTGCCCTCCTATTTGAAACACAGTACATTTAAATTTTTTTTTTTTTTAAAGATTTTATTTACTTATCAGAGAGAGAGAGAGAGAGAGCGAGAGTGAGCACAAGCAGATAGAGTGGCAGGCAGAGGCAGAGGGAGAAGCAGGCTCCCCGCTGAGCAAGGAGCCCGATGTGGGACTCGATCCCAGGACGCTGGGATCATGACCCGAGCCGAAGGCAGCGGCTTAACCCACTGAGCCACCCAGGTGTCCCTACATTTAAATTTTTAATGGTCATACTTACTTATCAGTTGAAAGCTATGTATTCACATACTCCCGCCACTGGGAAGCAATGTGTGAAAGTACTTCTACCTACTGACAGTAGGTTAGAAATGTCATTTGGGTGGATTGATAGCAATGGAGTAAAATGGAAATAGATTTGTACTAAGCCAGACACTCTTTCCTCTTGTGCAAACGCTAGGAAGCACCTACATCTTCTAGCTAGGATTAGTGTACTTGCTCAGTAAGCCAAGAAGACTGCACCAGTAATACATAAATGCTCCAATCACACACCCACCCATACACTGGAGAAACACAATGCTCCATGACCACTTCTATCTTTTGATCTTCGTGGCTCAAGAGGTGACTCCTTTCGGGAAGTCTTCCCCTAATTACCAACACCTTCCAATATATACAGATACACGGACACCCTCTCCACCATGTTCTCCAATGAGGTAAAATACTGTCCAAAGCACACACTGCTTACCAGAATTGCTAGTTTTTTCTCTCCACTATGAAACTGCAAGATCCATAGTAATCATTTCTGTAAATCGGTATTTAACATGAGGCCTGGTAAAAACCAGCATTCAAAAAAAATTTTTTGTTAAATCAATGATAGAATGGGTACTTACAATCTCATGAAACTGCAAAACACAGGTATGTCCTTAAGTCCAAAGAAACTTGACAATTACTTTTTGGAGAGGAAAAAGTTACAGTTCAGGTAATGTAGTATACAGAATGGCTACTTATGATGAGACCAAGTAGGTCCACAAAGACTGTGTATTTAGAAAAAGAACAGCTCGGCAGGCAGGCCAGAAGAAAGCTAACCCTCTGCACAGCTAACTTGCTGTGCAGGAAGGGTTAACTCAGCAGGTTTGAGTTGCTCAAATCCTGCACATTCCCAAGAAAGACCTGTTTTCAGGCCTGGCCCTTGGCCAGTCCCTGGAAATGAGCTCTGAGCCCTTGAAATACTCTCCATGATAAGAATGGAGTCACAAGCCTGTGTGACTGAGCTCCAATAAAACCACTGGGCACAAAGGCTCTGCTGAGCTTCCCAGGCTGGCAACACCGTGCACGTGCAGTCACACTGTTGCTGAGCTATGGCATGCACCTGTGCTACTGCACAGGCTGAGGACACTTGGAAGCCGGCATCTGGTTTCTCCTGGGATTTGCCTTTTCCTTTTGATAATTTAATATGTATCTTTCCCACTGTAATAAACCATAACCAGGAGTACAGCTTTTCTGAGTCCCATGAGTCCTTCTGGCAAATCACTCAGCCTGAGCGTGGTCTTGGGGACCTTACCTCACTTGCTAAACTCAAATTCAGAAATGTCAGGATCCCTTGAGGAAGTGATTCTTGGTTGCTGGATTAATTAATATACTTGTTTATTACCTTTACAGACCAGCAAAGTTTTATCTTAATCATTATTAAAAAAAAAAAAAAAATTTGTTCTTTCTTCTTAGACGTTCAACTGTTTGAATTAACTCCTCCCAAACAGAGTAAGAATTCAAAATGAGTATTTAAAAAGACACAATCATAGTTTAACATTTACAAATTATTTAATTTTTTCAATTTTGTTATTTAAATTCTATTTAGTTAACATACAGTAAATTGGTAGCTTCAGAGGTGATTTAGTGATTCATCAGTTGCATATAACATCCAGTGCTCATCACATCAAGAGCCCTCCTTCATGCCAATCACTCAGTTACCCCAGCCCCCCCCACCTCCCCTCCAGCAACCCTCAGTTTTTTTCCTAGAGTTAAGAGTCTCTTATGGTTTGCCTCCCTCTGTTTTCATCTTGTTTTATTTTTCCTTCCCTTCCCGTATGTTCATCTGTTTTGTTTCTTAAATTCCACAAGTGAAATCATATTAACATATAAAGTTTATTAAAAGAGACGGTGGTTATTCGTGGTGAGGGTTAGGGGTGATTATTATAGGTTCAATTCCCTAAAGAGGAATTCTGAATCAGAAACCCATGGACTGGTTTCAGGGATACATGAATGCCATGAAACTGTCAAATGTTGTATGTATTTGCATTCTGAAGGTTCATAGCTTTCAAGAGAATGACAAAGGGGTCTATCACCCACAAAAGATTAAAACCACAACCATAGGAGATTATCATCATTCTCTCCTGAATCCCCTTTACTTGTGGTTAGTCAACCAATATTTTCTAACCATTATTCTTATCAGTTACTGTGCCAAAAGCTTAGTGTACAAAGATTGGTATAATTCATGGTCACAGCCCTTGAAGAGCTCCAAGGCCTACAGAAGGAGGCCTTATTAATTGATACATTACTTAATTAATACATAATTAATTAATACATAATTAATAGTATTAATTATTATAATGTATTATTAATATATAAGTGATTAATAATACATCATACAATGTGGTAATTGCTATATATATATATATAAATACTGTCATGAATATCCTCTCAGTTCTAAGATCTTCATCTTCTTCCTTAGCATATATGAAATGAGACCTAAACACCTGGTCTAACAATTAAGACTTTTACTTTTGGGGTCCAACTTACCACTCACATTACAAATGCAATCTAGGGCCTCATGCTTCTTACCATTATAACAATCATGTCTTTCAGGGCCATGGTCTTTACACATACTATCTCTATGCCTAGTTCAAACAAGATCTTTTTCATGATAGGCTCTAAACTCTCCCCTACTCTTAACGTAAGTGGCAGGTCCTTACAATATGTTCCCATAGTGCTCTTTGTATACCTTTCAGATAGAACAAATCAATCTATTTATAGTTTGCTGTTAAAGTGTCTCTCATTACACTAAGAAGGGCCAAGTTTTTCAAAATTTATTTTTCCACCACTGAATCCTGAACTTGGTGATCACAAAAATGTATGCTAAAACAAGTGTTTCCCAAACAGGAGGTCACAAGTATGTTGGGAGAAGGGGAGTCTAAGAATTGTGTACAAAATTTTGCTAATGTTTTCATTTAAAAGATAATCTAAATAAATAAGATAATCTAAAATGAATGATAAAAATGCTAAGTAACCACAATCTAAACAAGTACTGTCAGAAGACTTTCACTGATGCTTCTTCAGTTCTGTTAAATTCTTCTTCACGTCAAATGTCCTAATGGCACTCTGTATAAGCAAAGCTCTCACAGTAACTGTAACCCACAGTGAAAAATAAAGGAATCTAGAATCATCACAGCATATGATAAGACAGGCATGGTATATTCAAAGCTAATACCATATGATATGCTACCATAATTACATGGATCCTATCTTTGTAGCACAATTGCAAAAGTTGATTAGAAGTAAATGCGGTTGAAGTATCCAGTGACATTTTTCCATTCCCACTTCCAGCATGAGCTAGTGTAGAGAACCATTTAATAAAGATTTCAGTAATGACATAACGTTAACCTCATCTTCAAATGAACACCACAGCTGACATCTCATTAAAATTGGTATTTGAGGAATGCTTGCTGGCAAGTGTTTTGGTTAGATATGAGGTTTGACAATCCTGAACTTACAAACAAAGCCTGAAGTCATTAATAGCACCTTGCACAACATTACCTAGAAAGGGTACTTGCAGCTTTTAGTATCAATGAAGTTAAAATACAGAAACAGATTTAAAATGGAATGAGACCTAAGGCTCTTTTTTTTTCTACTGTGAAACCTCAACATCACCTGTCACACTGAATAACAATATTAACTTGAAATCTGTTAGTTGTGTAGTTGTCTTTGTATTTAATTTGCAGGCTTGGTTTATAGTTTTAAATGAGCCAAAAATAAAAATTTTATATCTAGTTTCATAGCTATATAATTTAAGTAACATGACAAATACATTCCATATGTTTTCTTTTAAAGAGGTCATTACTTATGGCAAGTTTGAGAAAGTCGGTGCTAAAGGGCTTCTCTTAATAAGTCTTTCAGTAAGAACAGGTCACTGGACAAACAGAAACATTACTTAACATAAAGCTTAACCAGGTAAGGGTTTACCTCTTGAGGGAATTTTAAACTTCTATTTTACCACTTTAAATCAGAGTTGAGACTGAATACAAGACTGCTGTTAAATGTATGAGATGTAGTAATATAGTTTAGGGGAAAAATAAGATAATTTAAAAATTCCCATGAACTCATGAACTTTAATTCCCATTTTTAAAAAATTCAAACTGATTTTATTAATAGATAGATCTGACCCCTCGTTAACTCCCTTTCTTAATTAGGTTGTTATTTTTGTTGATTTTCAAATGCATGTACAGGGCAAAATATCTACCTAACAAAGGTATACAACGATGTCTTCTTCCTACCCCACAGCCCATAATTTCACGCCCCATGCCACCCTATCCCTTAACATCAGTCTCACCTCGTCAACTTGACTTTCATTTAATTCTGCCATTTTTCATTGAGCATACCCATATGCCAGATGCTGAGCAGGCTGCGGGTTGGAGGGATAAATAAGACAAGCTGGACTGAAGGA